GAGGTATTCGCCATTATTTGTGTACAAGTTTTCTTGCGCCGTGTCCGCGCCCAACCTGCACATCTTGCCACTCGGTTGCTCCAAGGGAATCGTCTCGTAGTAAACGCTGTAATCGGCGTGTAGCTGCCTCCGCACGGGCTGACAATATCCATTCGTCCAGACGCGATAGTTCGACGAGTACAGGGTGATTAATGCGTGGCCGCCCATAGCCTTCGGCAACATAGGCATCACCATCCATGTAAGCTGTCGCGGCAGTAGCCCCAATCTTTCACTCGTCTGCCAGAATATAGACTGAGCACGTCCAGGCCAGCATCTGATAGGCATCGGTAGTGCAAGGGGTGACTGCCATCCAAGATGCTCGACGTCCGCTTTGGAAAAGAGGCTGATGAGTTCCATATCGCCTGGGCGCACGACAAAGAGCTTGTCGGTCAGGTATCCACGCTCTGCGTGTTGTCGCCGATGAACTCCATAACCTGAGATGCGCATCTTCAGCATCAGCCACCACGCGATGAGGATGAGACCGAAAAGCTTCGGGGGTACCAACTACCATTGTGGGCGCCTGAAGCGCACGATACGCCGTAAGTTTGTGAAGTCTGCCCGCTCCGTTCTCGCCGGCCCCATTCGCACCACTGCTTTCATCGCGCTGCGCCATCCCTGTCCGCCTCCTGCTGGGGCACCCCTATGTCCTCGGCCGCCTCGTTCAGTAACATCTGGATGTCCTCAGCGGAAGTTCTGACTACCGAGATGGTCCTTCTAGCCTTCGATCTCATGGCGTCAAGCCTTTGACTGATACCCTGTCCAGCATAGATGGTGGCGACGAAGCCGTGCACTTTCATCCTTCAGCTCGGCAGCATCTGAAAAAACCGGGCGCGCTGTGGGCGGCGCCAGAGGCATCCCCTCAGGGTGTGGAGGGGTCCAGCGCCGACTCGAAAACCCGCGCGGACTTCCACAAGTTTGTGGTTCTGCTGCTTTTCTGTTCTACAGGGAGGATCAGGGCGGACGAACTGGAAAGATTGTGAAACGGGAGGGGGGATCTGCTGCATGCGGGCGCGATCCTTGGTGCACGATCGTTCGGGAGGCGCCGGGAAGACCAGCTGCATGCAGTTGATTCGATTCTCATACCTTCTGCCACCCCTGCCTTCCCGTCCGCCCCGATCAGCGGCAACGGCAGGGGTGGATAGGCCCAGAGTGAGACGCATGGAACCCCAGTCGCCCATGGATCGCCGATAGGGGCCCCACAACCCGCCTTGCCCAGGATCGTGCGGTTTCGCTATCGAAACTTCCCTCTCGCGTCCGTCCGCCCCGGTTCCCCTCTCCTCCCAAAGAGAATCAGCCACACGCAGAGGGGGACAGGGGGAGGGGGGAGGGCTTTTAAGAAGAAGGCTGCCTCTTAGAAGGCGCGGGCCTTGCTTGTACAGATGAGGCCCGCGCCTTCCAAGAAGCAGGGGGCTTCCAAGAAGCCTTCCCCCCTCCCCCTGCAGTGCGGACCGAAGTATAAGATCGAGGTCGGTTCGGCAATCACACCCTAATGTTCTTCGTGTTTGTTGAATGTTCTTGTTGTGCATCCTGGGGAGGGTACCCTTGGGCGTTCTGTGTGTTCTGCCCGGCGAAGGGTCTCGTGCTCTTGAGAGATGCTCTTCTGTCCTAGGCCCGCCTGTACCCCCCGTCTGCGCGCCGCTCAAAAAAAACCTTGCAGCCCGGGAGGAGGAGCAGAAGGTCGAACGGGCCAGGACGAGGATACATCAATCCCTTCCAGAGCGCCGCGGAACGCTCTCAGAGCGTTCCGGAACGCTCTGAGCAGGCCGTGGAGCCCGAGACATCCTCCAGAGCGGTCGGATCTCAGAGATGCCTGATTTTCCTCGCCCGATGTTATCCTCGTCCTGGCTTCGTCTTGTGAGGAGCAGAACCCAGACATGCGACGTCCTGATTTCTTCAGGACGGCGTCCCTGGAAGTCCCGACCCCTTCCCCGGGACAGGTTTTTCGTCCCGAGTCGTTTTTCAACGGTCCCAAGGCCCGGCGAAGGCCCCCCAGGGACGAAAATAGCCAAAGACCTCCCGTCCGTCCTGATCTTTTCACGACGCGAGCATGTCTGGGGAAGGTCGCTCCCCGCCGTCGCGCTCCCCGGTCGTCAGAGGCGAAGATCGGGGCGAATAGCCCAGGGGAGAGCAATGTCTTCAAAAATCGGGGGCGGCAAAGAGGGGGGTGACGACTAGGGGGGGTGGATATCATGGCGGGGGCCATGATATTTCCCCAGATTTCATGGCGCCTCGTCTTGTTTCATTACGTCCCTGCCCCCCCCGCTGCACCGCGCACATGCCGCCAGCCATGATTTGCACCCCCCCCCTCTTGGACGCCCCCCTCTTGGCCGCTCCCGAAAAAAGGCTCCCGGGCGAATGCGTGTACTGCCCGCCCCTGGGCTGTTCGCTCCCCGCCGTCGCGCTCCCCGGTCGGGCCCCCGCCGCCGTCCCAGGCGGCTGCCCCCAGGAGAAGCCCAGCGCCTTCGCGGACCCGGGCTGCGCGCAGGGCCCAGTCGTTCTCGGGGCGGCGGGCCTTGGCATCGCCCGGACGTGCGCCTAGAATTATGATGTTCCAACCTACTGTAGCATTGATCACCACAAAGAATCTCGAACCCCCAACGAATACCGAAACCTGAGGGTTTTCCGTGTCGGGCCCTGGGAGACACTCGTCCGACACTGTTTCGACACTCTTTTGACACTTTTCCGGGTGCTCGAAATTATTTCTGGGATGCGGTCTTTAAGTAGGATGAGAACAACATAAGCCTAGAAGCAACACACAACAAAAAAGATGGTTCGGACCTTCGGGCGAAGCTTCGGGAACTTATGCGTCTGCCGTTTGCCTGTTCCTCCTTGGGGAGGGGAGCAGCAGCTTGGCACCTCCGGTGCCCTCGTTTCTGTTGTCCAGGCCGAGCGGCCCCGCGTGCTGGCTCGCCCGTGGCAAGAGGCTTGCTGGGCCCACTCGCCGTTCTGGGGTCTTGCTTGAAGACTGCGGCGTGCGTCCGCGCTTGAGTTAAGTCGGGCACGTCCCTCTACACGAGGAAAATTCAGAAATAGTTGTAGGGGGGCACGCCCGACTTACCGCTTGAGGTCTCTTCCACCTTCCAGGGGGGCCCAAACTCGAAGAAGACACAACTTCGTAAGCATAAACTCCACCCACTCTTCCACCCATCCCTCTCGCGTACACCGTGCAAATGCCAGTAGCGGCGCACACACGACCACTTTTGGCGAACACAGTGGCAACGGCTCGTATGACAAGAGCAGCGCCAACAGCGACCCTCAAATGCCATCGGCACGAATTGAGTTTCTTGTCGACGTCCGCATACAGCTAAAGGACCAGTTCGAACCATGGCATGAACAGGGCAAGCGGGTAGTCATGTAGACGTAACGCATCGTCAAAATCATTCGCATGTGAAAGGTCTAAGCGTTGCAATTCCCACAGGCCCAAGCTCAGATTGACAGCGGGAAAGATTGGCTCGACAGCGCGTTTGCAGTAACCATAACACACGAATGTTGCACAATGGGCACTGGAAAGCTTGTGCATGGGACACATCAAATGGGAGTGGAAGGCTTCGGGTTCAAGGCTACGCATGATTTAAATGTTAACGTTGAAGGGTGTTTCGAGTAACACTGAGCTGCGAGTAACAACTGTGCAGCATTGCTTTGTGGCGCTTCCTCCCAGGACGTCCATATCTCGGATCTGAACTCCTGGATGGGTAAAGTCGGGGGCTACGGGAGAAGCGCGGGAGAGAGAAAGAATGGCGAGCACGAGTGGTGTGCGGAGGTGGTGGCGAGATGCGGGAGCACCGCAGGTCCGCGTCGTGTCGACCGGCGGCGACCCCGCCGCTGACGTTCAGCGTTGAAGGCCGCCGGCGACCCAGAATCGGACCATGCTGAACGATCGGACATTTGGGAAATTGCCGATCGTTCAAGGTTGAAAGATCCCCGCGGTGTCAGGAACCAACGCCGGGGTCGGCACGACACGAACCCGCCGTGCCGAGGTGCTGGAGTCCAGAGACCGCGCCGCACACGCGGCGGCGCGGTGGACGCTCGGACACTCGCAGTACTTGGTGCTCCCTTCGGCTCCGTGGGCCACGAGCGCGTAGGAACGGGAAGCACCAGCAGTCAAGCAGTGGCGAAGCGTCCTGGCTCGCCTATAACCCTACCAAACAATGTTCTAAGAACCTTGTGTGGTTCCCACGGAATGTTCTTAGAACATTTCTGGCAGGGACTGTCTTGTTTTAGCACATCGGGTCGATGTTCTAAGAACTTTTTTTGTTCTTAGAACATTTCTGGGTTCTAAGAACATTTCGTGGTAGGACTATAGGAAAGCCGGGACGGTCGGTCCCTGCTCGAAGCAGATGGTCGAGAGATTCGGGAGCACCGAGGTGCTGGAGTCCAGAGACCGCGCCACGAGCGGCGACCGCCAGATGTATTGCGCCCTCGTCTGCAACTCGCACAGTTACTGCCCCTCGGGCAGCAGGCGCAGCCCGCGGGGGCCTCCGCCCCCCCTCTCGCGCCTGCCTCCCGCTCCGGCGCGTTGCTCGCCTCGGTGCCGATTGTTGGCCTGCTCGGTCCCTCGATGTAAATTAGAGATGCGAGTGCCCTCATCCTCCATTTTTGCCGAGAGTGCTAGTACTCATTTGATTCATCGTCCCACAGCCGTGAGCAAGCAAGCAAGCAAGCTCCCCCCTCCTGTTGCTAAGAAGTTCCCCTCCAGCTCGTCCTCCGCAGTCCCCACTCCCGCCCCTGTCCCCCCCTCCAACACTCCCTCCTCGTGTCCTTCCTGCGCGCTCCCCATCTCCTCCCTCCCCCCTTTCCCTGCATAGTGCAGACTGGAGGAAGGGAAGGGTGCACTCCCGGCCCAGGCCCGGAGCAAATCCTCGCCCACATTGCTCGTCTCTCCGTCCCTCCTCCGCACCCGGTGGTCGGAAGGCCGCCAGGCTGCTCCTCGGCATACACCGAGCGAAGTTCCCGCGCGCGCAATGCGCATGCAGTTCAATGCTGGGCGCGAGGGCACGGCAGATGCGAGCAAGCGCGCGAGGAGGAAGGAAGTACACAATCCCGCCGTCAGTGAACGAGCGAGCGAGCGAGCAAGGAACGAAGGGACGAGGAACGACGGAACTGCGGGCGCTCGGGATGGAGGCAAGAGCTCGTGAAGGAACGGAAGGTCGGGATCAGAGTTGCCCATGCGTCTTTGGAGTTTGTCTGCGAGGTGCACGAAGGAGAAGATAGGCACCGATGGCAAAACGGACGGCGAGGAGGACGAGAGTCCGTTCGCCCACATGGACACCATCCTGCTCCCAGAGGACAGCGTCAAGGGCGTCTGCACGTATAAGGCGAAGCGCAGAAAGGCCAAGAGTCAGGCCACCGGGAGGGTGCGTGTGAGCACACCGAGGTAAGGTAGTTTCGCGCAGCCGCACACACGTCAGGAAATGGAGGCCATGGTACTTGCAGGGCCACCTGCTGGGTGGTAGAAGGGCTGGGTGGAAGGGTGGGCGAAGCTCTCGGTCTGCGACCAGCTTCGCGTCGGGTTGACAACACGTGTGCTTGTATGTGAATGCTTGGGTACAAATGTGTGCATACCCAGTTTGGAGATCTGGTGGGTGTCCATGTATATACGTTCCGAGGCGGGGATTTATCCATAACGACCGCCTTGGGGTTCGAGCTTCCCGGACCTCCACGGGCGGTGGAGAGGGATATATACAGATGTATATATATATATACATATACGTATGTAAATTGTGTATACATGTGTATATACGCAAATATCTATATACCTATATATGTATGTATATGTATATGTATATAGATATGTCCGTAAGAGCGTCGCCCCCATGCCGCCAGCCCCCCTCTTAGAATGGGACTTGCGAAAGCTGTGTTGGGATGTCTGGACGCTGACGTGAAGCAAGGTCAGGGCTTCACAAGCTGCGGAATATTTCACAACTACGAAGATTGCGTAAGTTTCGATGGTTTCTGGTTTCGGGGGCGCGGATATTGCTTAATGTACGAGGGTTTATGGTTTCGGGGGCGCGAACATTGCGTAATGTACGAAGGTTTATGGCCTCGGCCTCGAGGACGCAATTATTGCGTATTTTTCGAGATCGTATGCCTGCAAGGACGCGAATACTGAGTAATTTACAAAAGGTTTATGGCCTTGAGGGCGCGAATATTGCATACTGTAGAAGGGCTTATGGCCTCGGGGACGCGAGTACTGTGTAAGTTACATGGGTGACGAGAGCCCCCATCACGACGCTCGGAGGGGCCCAGGGGCTCCAGAGCGGAGCGAAAAGCTGGGGGCACCTTGTCAAGGGAGGAAAAACCACCCGGACCGGACAATTGGCATTACTGAACGGCCTTGGGCGTTTACTAAGCAGCCCTGCTCTGTTTGATTCCTCCTTTGGGTGCGTTTACGAAACGGCTTCGCGTGCCGGAGTGATTATTATCAGGGTGGATGATATACCCTCTTGGACCAGAGGCACCTTCAGCAACCCGCGAACGTGAGAACCGCCCAGGAGTGAGTGAGTCGGGCATGTCCCTCTATAGGAGCAATATTCAGAGATCGTCAAACAAATACGCTGGGGATGGTGTTTTTGTTAACCGTGTGCTGCCGAGATTAATCCCACAGGGATGATAAAGTTCGGGGTCGCGGGGGGATTATAAATGTTGCCTACTCGAGGCCAGCATGTGGGAGGAGAAAGAGATGATGTTAAGAGGACCGAAAGCCGAGGATCGAGGATCGAGAATCGAAGTCCGAGGATCGAGGATTGAGATCCCAGAAGTAGAGAAAGATAGACAGGCAGAAGGAGAGAGGTGGAGGAGGAGGAGGAGAAACGCCAAAGATCCAAACCTATTACATGTAATTTGTAAACAAACAATGGAAATTAAGATTTTCATCTGCTCGTGTAGGGTAGCTCACGTGCCTCGGTTTTCGTGGATAGTAAACCACAGCGATAAAAAAAAAGTTCTGAGGGGACAGGGGGGAGGAAACGGAAAGAGAAAGAGAAGAGCAGACAGGAGAGAGAGAGAGAGAGATAAAGAGAACGTTGTTGGTTTCGCTTGAGACATCCTCGACCACGTCTTCGCTTCGTTTGATGTTGCTATCTCAACATAAGAAGGAAGTTAACCTCGATGGTGAACTTTTCACAGTGATAAAAAAGTTCGGCCTCCGCGCCCCGCGCCCCTGACCAAACTCTTCTTGGCCGTGGATAATCAACTCTAGCGTGGAAAGGGGGGGTCCTTTTTTATCATCGGCACAGGGTTATTACTACTTTTGCGTATGCTTGAGCATTATGGGTGGTATTCTCTGCATTTGCCGTCCAAGATCCGCCTGTAGGGGGACGCGCCCGACCTCGGCCCAGGACAAGCGCACGGTCAAGAGGAGAGCCCTGGGACCGTTGGCGCGCGCCGAAAGCCGCGGGGCAGTCGCGGGACACAGCGTGTGCGGAGAGCGCCCTGTGGCGGGCACGTGGGAGCGGGGGGGCAGTCCGACGCGAGGTGCCGCCGGCCACGGAAGGAGTTCTGGCCCCCATCCTCCTCCTCCTCCTCCTCCTCCTCCTCCTCCTCCTCCTCCTCCTCCTCCGCCTCCGCCTCCTCCTCCTCTTCCTCCTCCTCATCATCATCATTAGCTTCGCCTCGATCGCGGACGCACGGCACGAGCCCGAGTGGAAGCCCGTCTCCTTGCGGGGGGGGCTGGGCGCTCCGTTTCAAGCCGATCTCACCCCCACGGCAGCCAATCGGGCTACGGAACCATCAAGGCAGCTAGCTACCAAGCCCTCTGTCTACGTATGCGACAGCATGTTGAACGAAGTCACCTAGACCTTCCAAGTGTAATCCAGCAAGTGCGTGTGTGAATATTGTATTGGACCACTGAACTATCCCAAGCCTCGGACGTACTTCTCGCCAGACGACTGCACTTCGAACTCCTCTGAATACCTACGCTGCATTGTAGCTTGCAACCCGCCGAATTTCACCAGAATTGCCACGCCAGGTCTAGCCCTGCAGATACTATCACTGGTCGATCTCGCCCGTTCTTCCGTCCGGAGTCCGTGCCTACGGTTGCAGACAAAACAGCTTGATGGGCCCGAGCAAAACCCAGGAGCGACGCGCCGCATATGCGGACCGGCCACGGGACAGATCACGGGACAACGCCGCTGCCACGCGGCGGGCACGCGGGAGGCGGGAAGCAGTCTCGGAGGTGGACAGACCTCCTACCCTGACATGTCGAAATTGGCCGCTTTCGGTTCGCCAGAGGGCGTCGCGGCTCGCATTTTTGCGGGTCCAGGTCCGTCGGTTTCGGTCCCAGGCCGTTTTCACTATCCACCTCCACCTCCACCTCCTCCTCCTCCTCCCTCCTCCTCTTCCCTCCTCCCTCCTCCTCCTCCCTCCTCCTCCTCCTCCTCCTCCTCCTCCTCCTCCTCCTCCTCTCATCCCTCCTCCCTCCTCCTCCTCCTCTCCTCCTCCTCCTCCTCCTCCTCCTCCTCCTCCTCCTCCTCCCTCCTCCTCCTCCTCCTGCATGAGGAAGGGAGGCTTGTCCACCGCCGACAGGCTGTCGCGAGAGGTTCTTGAGTTCGTGGCCCGCGCGGCGGGCGCGCGGGAGGCGGGAGGCAGGCTGTCGCGAGGTGGCCCTGACTTCGTGGCCTGCCACGCGGGGTTCGAATACCTCCCACCCTCCCTCCCTCCCTCCTTCCCTCCCTCCGTCCTCCTCCTCCTCCCTCTGGTCTCTCGTCCCTCTTCTATCTCTCGGGCCGGACGAAAGGGGTGGGATTGGGAAAGGGGGGGTTACGAAATTTGCTGCATGCAGCTGGTTTGGGCCTCACCGAGGGGCCCGTCCTCGATACACGGCCGCCTCCGGCGCTGGGAGGCGCCTGATTCTCAAACCCCCTTTTTGCTATCCCCCCTTTCGCCCGACCCGAGAATACATGATACATGAGGTTGGAGGATCGCGCCGCATCGCCGATGCGGTTCGATGTGGAGCGCGATGCTCTCCACGCCGACGTCGCCGACGCATCGGCGATGCTCATCTACGGACCCCATGCGGGAGGCCTCCGTAACCAGGGAAGGATTGTCAAGCGCCCTCGCGAAGCTTCGCCCTGATCATCACACGCACTGCACGCGCCGTAATCGAAAGCAAGTTCCTGGTGAGGGATGTCTCCGCTTCATGTCGATCGCACCCCCAACCTCCGACAACGTATAATTACCTATAAGACCACCCTTCGGGTGATAAGGAGGTTGTGGGGGGGGAGAGGGGGGGAACCAACATCTGACTCAACACTCAACCGATCTCACTATCGATCTCACTCAACAAGGCACCACGGGACACCACGGGACACCTGTCGATCTCACTATCGATCTCAATGTCGATCTCACTCAACGGGACACCACGGGACACTACGGGACATTGGTCGATCTCACTATCGATCTCACCATCGATCTCACCATCGATCTCACGGGACACCACGGGACAACTCGGGACACCACATCGATCTCATTATCGATCTCACTATCGATCTCACTCAACTGGACACGACGGAAGACCACGGGACACCTGTCGATCTCACTATCGATCTCACTTTTTGGGACACCACAGAACACCATCAGATCGATCTCATTATCGGTCTCACTATCGATCTCACTATCGATCTCACTCAACGGGACACTACGGGACACCAGCAGGACACCGACGGGACACCGCGGGGCACCGGCTGCCGGAGGAGTTACATTTGGTCCGGCCGCGGCCCAGTCACAGGAGGATTTCTTCTCGCCCGCCCACGCAGCTTCGCCTCGCCCGCACGCCCGCACGGCACGCGCGACACGAAGCCGAAACCGAAATCGATTTCCCGGTAGGGGGGTCTCCGTTTCAAGTCGGACTCACCCCCCAACCTCCGATTTGCACTTGATACTACCAGCTGGCTCGGCGCACAGGTACACGGGCGGAGGTGCGTGGGAATTCTTCCATTGTTCGGACGCGTTCTCGTGTGTGAGTGGCAAAGCACGTGGGTACATGATAGCTTCATGTGACCACTCGCCATGGCGAGCACGCTTTGCTGCACGGTAGATTGCTGAACATCCCAGTCAGGCGAAGTGGTTATGTGCCGTCGGTGTGTTCCGTGAGGGTGAGAGGGGGCATTCGAAAAAAGGGGAATGACGTTCGGCAAAGAGAAGCAACGAAGGAATTTGGAGGAAGCACGAAAGGGCAGGAGGCGGTGTAGATCTGTTAGGGTTCAAGGCGCGGGGGAGCAAGCGCCGTACGCCAGGGGCATGTGCGCGGAAGCGGATCGGGTGGACGAGGCAGGCAGAGCAAGGTCTGGTTCGGTTCGGGGGGGCAGGCAGATTGCGCATTGGTGCGCCACGGAGTCTTTTGTCACAATCGAGTTGCATGCCAGCTCTTTCCCAGTGGGGCATTGCACAACGAGTGAAGGGCTCAGTTTGGGCCCGCCCCAATTGGCGGACGCGGAGGGAGGGGGGCCAGCAAAGGCGGGGGAGAAGGAGGAGCGTCCGCAGAGTTCAGGGCGGAGTGACTGAGTGGGAGGTCGAGGGCTCCGAGCCCCCGGTGAAGCTCAGAATGGCACGATCTTGGACCAACCAGATGCTGAAAGACCGCGGGGTGCAGCCGTCGCCGTTCGCGAAGGACGACCTATGACTGCGGCGGCGCGGCCACGGCCGTCCGCCCTTGGCCGAGAAAGAAAAGCTGCTCGTTTTGCCGTGGAGGCGGGGGGGGGGGGGGGGAAATGGGAGAGGGAGGGCAGGAGCGAGGAGGGGGAGGGGAGAAGGGAGCAGGGAACGGGGAGGAAGAAGGGGAGGGGAAGGGGGGAGAGGGGCGGCAGGAGAGAGCGGGGGGGGGGCGGAAGGAGAGGGGGAGGGGGGGGGCAGAGGCGGAGGTGGAGGAGGGGGATCGGCGAGGGGGAGGCCCGTGCGAGCGGGCCAGAGAAAGAGCCCCTCGGGCCGGCTGGCCCGAGGCCGCTCTCTGCAGTGTGTGCACGCGCCCGCGGCGGAGGCCGCAGCCGGAGCGGAAGCGCACGGAGGGGAAGGAGGAGGGAGCGGCGAGGGGGGGGGGGGGCGTAGAGAGCGCAGGCAGGGCGCCGAGGGCACGACTCGTCGCGCCGAGGGGCCTCGCACCGGGCCGGTGCAGAGGGGAGAGGAGCCCCGGAGAGCCCCGGGGGCCCTCCCCCCAGGGCTGGCCGCCGATGGTGCGTGCGGAGCCACGTGCGTAGGGCGCTGCTTCCGCAGCGGAGCGCCCTCTGCGCTGACCGCGGCGTTTTCCCTCGGACTGCCCGGGCAGGGAGGGAGGGAGGGAGGGAGGAGCAACCATACGCAGCTGCGGGTTGTGCAAGACAGATGGTAAGAAGGAGGGAGGCTAGCAAGAGGATTGGGACGTCGACGAGAAGGAAAAGTGAGGTTTGTGCGGAAATGGGGCAAGGATGGGAGGCAGCGGAAGGTGAGACGCGCGCGGCTCTGGACGATTCAAAACGAGGGCCCATTGCCACAGGCCGATTGAGGACAAAAACATCTTTCGGACGAGCCAGCATCCGGCTTATATGCATCCTGAACAATTGTTGTTTGTAGCATCGTGGTGTGTCCTTTTTGCTGGCAATCTCTATCCCGGATCCTGTCAACCCACTCCCTCCCATTGCATGTATCTCTCATTCCATCTCCCCCCCACACTCTTTCCATCCCCTCATGTTTCATCCTCCCCTCGCTCCCCCCAAACCTTTCTCTCACGAAAGACGGGGGAGGAGGGGCGAGGTTTCCCCGGCGACGTCGGTGTATTTACGCGGCAGTTTTGGCTCGGACGGGCTCGGCCAGTTGCGGCGCGTCCTTCGGAGGGCCCCAGGACACCAACCGTACACATGCACCGATCCTGGCCAGCCCGGCCCTTCGGTGCGATCTTTACGGGTACGGTTAAGTCGGGCAGATCCGTCTACAGGAGGAAGAATCGAAGTAGTCAAAAAATAGTCCGGTGACGATGTGGCGATGATGTTTGACCAGTTATTTGAATTTGTTTGAGCTATTTCTTGTTGTTCTTCCAAGGTCCGCATGTAGGAGGACATGCCCGACCTGAATGTACGGGAATGATGGGGACGAAGTCGGAGAGCAGTTCCTCCCATGTTTGACAAGGATTCGCTGTCAGTGTCGCTGCGGATGTTGCCCACCTGAGCCGGAAAGCCGGCTGCCCAACAGCGGCCGCCGATCGGTATTGGATTGCGTTTGTTTGGACATCGTGCTAATTTACTTCGTAAGGGCTTCGCCCTCTGCACCCGTCCACCTGTCTGTCAGAATGGGAGATGTCAGAGTTCTATCGGGACGATTGTCGGCGATGTTGTGAAGAATTCGAGGAGCATCATGCGAGGACGATTGGCAATTAGCAAGCACCTTGAGGTGTTCGAGCTGTTGTTGTTGAAGGCTGTTGTTTCTTTCTCGGAGCGCGAATCTCGCGAAACGTACGAGAGACGCTGGCCTCGTGAGCGCGAACCTGGCGTAAATTACAACAGGAGTCTGGCCTCGAGAGCGCGAGTCTGGCGTAACTTACAACAGGATTATTATCTCGGGAGCGCGAATTCCAAGTATTGTGCGAAGGATTCTGGCTTCGGGAGCACGAATATGGCGCAACTTGCGAAGGATTCTGGCTTCGGGAGCGCGAGTCCGACGCAATGTTCGAAGGATCATGGCATCGGGGACGCAAATTTCGTGTCATGTGCGAATGGCCTCGGGAGCGCGAACTTGGCGTCATGTACCACGGGCTCTTGCCTCGAAGGCGCGAATCTCATCTACCGCCAGCCACAACACACAGAACATTCAAGGGCACCCTCCCCAGGATGCACAAGAGCATCCAGCAAGCACGAAGGACACTGGGATGCCCTCCCTGAACCGACCTCGGTCTGATTCCTCGGTCCAACCGCATCTCCACGTATCCCAGGCCCACCAGAAATCTAGAGCACGCGAGTCGGGCGTGGTGGCCAGGGTGGCTTTCGGTCCCCCCCCCTGTCGCCAGGGCAGCAACAGGTTACACGCCGGTCATTGAAAGTAGGTATTTTTGGATTCCCAGATCCCAATTTGCTTCAAGCGCCTGCCTACTTCAAGAATCGGCATGCTTTTGCTGTGTTTTGTTCTTCTCTGGGAGGACCTGGACCCAATCCACTATATCCGCCTTCCTGCTTTATGTTTCTACCTACTTCTTCCGACTGGAAGGAAGCAAGCAGTGCGCAGGGCGCAAGCAGTGCGCAGGGCGCAGGAAGCAAGCAGGAAGCAAGCGCGGTAAGCAAGCAGTGCGCAGGGCCGGAAGCAGGCAGTGCGCAGGGCGCAGGAAGCCTCAGCCGCTCAGCCCGGCGGCCCCAGGCGGGGGCCGGCGGGTCCCGTGCCCATGCTGGTCGTGCACGAGCCGGGGCCCAGGTTGGGCCTCTCCGTTTCCTCCCTTTCCTCCTCTTCCTCCTCCTCCTCCTCCTCCTCCTCCTCCTCCTCCTCCTCCTCCTCCTCCTCCTCGGCCAGGAGAGGTCCGGATGTCAGTTGGCGCCCTCCCAGGGACAAGCCCCCCCTCACACCCGACGAGCGCGCCCGACATCCATGCCGGGCGCAGACGGTGCGACGCTCCGCGCCGCGTCCAGCAGGCGCGTCTTCCGCCTCGACCACAGATCGGGTGCTGACGAAGGCGTCCCTGGCCCAAGGCTCCCCCAGGGAGGCCCAGATGGCCCCCGGAGCACTCCTTTAAAGAGGCCCAGAGGGCCCCAGGGGGGAAGGAGGAGGACGAGGACAAGGAGGACGAGGAGGAGCAGCTCCAGAATGGCGCGAGAAGCTTGGGGGCAACCTGGGCCAGGGACCAATTCTGGCAGCACCCGAGCAGAACCTCGCCGAGCTGCGTGCGGTGGGAGATCCTGAAACCTGCTTCTCCCGGCGGAGAGCCGCCGCTGCTGGGGGAGCTGCGCAAGGCCGCCCAGGGCCCCCAAGCGGTGCAGTGGCGACACCGTGTGGTGAGCCAGTGGCGACGACGACGACGACGACGACGACGACGACGACGACGCGTGGCAGGGGGGGGTGGGGATCAGGAGGAGGAGAACGACGAGGAGGACAAGGAGGAGGGAGGACCAGTGTAAACCCAAGACGCATCAGCGATGTTGGAATGAACCCTGCCTCCAATTTCCCTTTTCGCAGGACTCTGCAAGGACTCATTTCCACTGAGGGAAGCGCCCCGTTGGGAGACAACCATTTGAAGATCCTGAAGCATGCCAAAACACAATTCCCGGGACTACAACGCCACGAATCAACCTGACTGTTGCGTTTTGACGATCCTGAAGCTTGCCAGAACTCATTTCCTAGGACTTCAGCACCACCAATCGACAGAACTGTTGCGCCCTGAGAATCCTGAATTGCTCCCAAGCGCAACTTCTGATATGCTCACCATGGGAGCCCGTGAGATGCGGTTGCACATGCTTCAGACGAACGTGCCCTGCGCTAAAGTTGGGCCCTCTAAAGGGGGAAAAGTCAAAAATATTTTATTTATTTTTTTACAAAAAAATGGTCTGGGGACTATTGTTTGACCATTTCTGAGCATTTTTTGTGTATGGTTGGGGATTGTTTTTTCGTTCAAAGTCGGCCTGTGGGGGGACAGGCCCGACTTAACGCTAAAGCGAGAGACACAGTTCGGAAACGGCCCGCCCCCAAGCCGTGAAACTCCTTGCAGACGTCGAGACGAGCGGCGGCGCGAGGCGAGAGCCACACTTCGAGAACGGCCCGCACTGCATCCATGAAGCTCTTGCAAACATGTTGAATCGGGGGCGGCAAAGATCAGGAGGGAAAAAACACACAGACACTCTGAATCGTCGACTCCCAAGAAAATATGGGAAAAAATGGGAAGTGGGGGGGAAGACAGAAACCCAGAAAATATGGGAAAATATGGGGAGTCCTTTTAGTTGTGTGTATTTATTTGTGTGTCCTGGGGCCCCTTCAAAACAGGGGGCGATGACTAGGGGGGGGGATATCATGGCGTGGGCCATGATCTTTCCCCGGGTTCCAAGGCGCCCCTTCTCACTTCATTACGTCCCTGGCCCCCCCGCTGGGCCGCGCACATGGCGCTGGTCATGATTTGCACGCCCCCCCCCCTCTTGGACACCCCCCTCTTGGCCGCTCCCGATTTACGACGAAAGTGCGCGGCGCTAAGGCGAAAGCCACATTTTGAAAACCGCTCGTCGTCCAGTTGCGAAATGGTTGCCAATGTTTGGGCTTCAGGGTCATAAATGGTGAGAATTTCTCAGGTGAAGCCCCCGGGCCCGCCCTTTCGACCGGCCTCGGGGGCGACAGGGCGGAGTTTGTTATAAGGAAAAGAAATGGAAGAGAAGGGGGAGAGGGAGGAGGAGGAGGAGGAGGAGGAGGAAGAGGAAGAGGACGACGAGAACGACAAGGAGGAGGAGGAGGACGAGGAGGAAGAAGAGGACGAGGGCGACGACGACACGACGATGACACGTGGCGACGACGACGCGTGGGGGATGAGTGGGAGGAGGGGGAAGAGGTGGAGGAGGAGGAGGAGGACGACGACGACGACGATGCGTGTTGAAGGAGGAGGAGGAGGAAGAGGTGGAGGACGAAGCCGACGAAGCCGACGATGCCCACTACGACGACGACGACGACGACGACGACGACGACGACGACGACGACGACGACGACGATGACGACGACGGCGACGGCTACGGCGACGGCTACGGCGACGGCGACGGCGACGGCGACGGCGGCGGATCCAGGGCGACTGCGCGGCTCTGGGGCTCGGGCGGCTCTGGAGCTCCAGGGCCGCCCTGCGAGGGCGGCTCAGGCGGCCGGGGCCTCCGGCATCCCCACCACCGAGCGTCTACGGACCGTGTGGTGGGACCTTCCGTCGGGGAACAAACAATGGCGTGAACAAAAATTCTTCACGCTTCGCGTATCCCCACCAGCCCATCTCAAAGCAGCAACTTTTGCGAAGCATGCCGACAGTCGTGTTTTTCAGGCTTGTTTCCGCCTGCCCCCGCATACCTCCCCTGTTCCTCCTTCCTCCCGCCTCCTTGTACATCCTCCTTGTGGTGGGAGCGGGAGAAGGACGAGGCGGAGGAGGAGGGAGAGAAAGCGCTCCTCGTGGTTTGAGTCGTTTGGGGTTTCTCGTCCTGGTGTGAGTCGTTCGGGCCCTTCTTCCTGGTGTGAGTCGTTCGGGCTCTTCGTGGTGTGAGTCGTTCGGGCTCTTCGTCCTGGTGTGAGTCGTTCGGGCTTCTCGTCGTCGGTGTGAGTCGTTCGGGCCCCTCCTCCTGCCTCGTCGTCCTCGGTGTGAGTCGTTCGGGCTCCTCGTGGTGTGAGTCGTTCGGGCGCCTCGTCCTGGTGTGAGTCGTTCGGGCCCCTCGGTCCGGGCTGTGTGTGAGATCGTTCGGGCTCCTCGTGGCGTGAGGCGTTCGGGCACCTCGTCCCCTTTTGGGGCGTCTTGGGGGCCTCTTGGCGGCCCCAGGGGCTTCTAGGAGCGTCTTGGGTGCCTTGGGGGAGCCTCTTCGGGCCTCTTGGGAGCCTCTTGGAGGCCGTTTGGGGCGTCTTGGGGGCCTCTTGGCGGCCCCAGGGGCTTCCAGGAGCGTCTTGGGTGCCTCGGGGGAGCCTCTTGGGGCCTCTTGGAGACCTCTTGGGGGCATCTTGGGGGCCTCTTGGAGGCCTCTTGGGGGCCTCCTGGGGACCTCTTGGGGCCATCTTGGGGCCTCTTGGTGCCTCCTGGGCGCTTCTTGGGGCCATCTTGGAGGGAATGGATCAAAGAAGAGGGGAGCTTTAATGAGCGCTGCCCCCTCAGAAGGGCAAAATGAGCCCAAAACCTTCGTAAAATCAATGATTTTGCCTTGAAGGAAGAGGGGAGCTTTCATGAAAGAAGGCCAAAATGGGGCCAAAACCATAGTAAAATCAATGATTTTGGCTTCACAGAAGAGGAGAGGGTTTTTTCTCCCCCCCCCCGTCGGGGCCAGAATCCTCGTGAGGGGTGTCGTTTTTTAGCCCTCCCAGGAGTGAAAAAGACCCCTCCAACGACCCGCGAAACCCCCTCTCCAGGTCCAGGGGGAGGGGGTAGGGGGAGGGGTAAACCCCTCCCCGAAGGGGAAGAAGGGGGGTTGAGAACAGAGAGGGCTCCCTAAACCACTCACGCCCAAAGGGCTGGTGGGATTCGGAGGTCCGCGCAGAGTTCTCGGATCGGCGCTGGAGCCCCCCGGCGGCGCCTCCGGCGCCGCACTTGGCGCGCTCCGCGCGCCGGGGTCCAGCGCCGATCCGAGAAGTCCGCGCGGACCTCCGAGTTGTTGTGTTCGTGTCATTGTTTGCGCCGCCAGGGCATGTCCATATCCACTGCCGCGGGGCCGCGTTCTGGGCACGCGATGAGCGGAGGATGTGGATATCTGCCCCGCCCAGGCGGGCTGGCAGATATCCTCATCGAGCGCTCCTCGAGATCCCGGGGCACGACTCCGCAGCAGTAGATGTGGACAGATTCTGGCGGTGGAATTGTTTGTTCCCGTATTTGCAGGATGATGAGTCCACCGCACGGTCTGCCCCAGACCCTCGACGTCATGGTTTTGGTGGCGGCGTGGGGGCCCAGACCTCTTGGACCCCTTCCGAAAGGGTTTGTCTCGTCCCGAGGCGTTGTTCGTGGAGGGCCCCAGGGCCCAGCGAGGGCTCCCAGAGGCCGAGAGTAGCAGAGAATGATTGTTTCCCGCGGCAGGCAGTGCGCGCGGCCCCCCTGGATGTGAGCGTTCTCGTCTCGACTCGTCGCCCTGTGATACCTGCTCTCGCATTTCCGCGCCTCTGTCTCCAGCCTCGCTCACCAATTTTTGGGGCGCGCACCACTTGCGGAGGCTGTTGTCGCTTGGATTTCCGACCTCTCTTCCTCTTCCCAAAACGATCCACGACGCGAGGGGAGACCGTCTCACGCATTTCCCGCGTGACGAGACCGTGTTGCATGATTTCCGCGGACCCAGTTCTCCTGACCCTGGAACGGGGCGAGGAAGCGGCGCCTGGTTTTAGGTCCGGCTGCGCCGTCAGCAGCAGCACAAAAGAGGCCGAAACTGCTGCGGGCTGCCCTCTTGCGCCGCCGCGGCGGAGAGCGCGGCCTCGGTGGACAGAGCCCGGGGTCACCGCACCGCTTCGGGACCCCCGAGAGGCCGCCCGGGCCGCGGCCACCGCGGGAGAGGCCGTCGCGGGCGCCGCGGCAGACGGCTCGGGCTCCGCAGCCACCCGGCCAGGGCAGACCGTCGCCGTCGGCCTCCGCGCCACCGCGCGCAGCGTGGAGTTGTGGGGCAGCGTCAGGGGGGGCGACCTGCCGGGCCCCAGGGGTCGAGGTGTTCGGGCAGCCTCGTCGGCCCCCGGCGGCCTTCCAGCCTCGGGGGGGTGCGCCCCCCAGCGGCTGCGCCTCGCCGAGGGGCGTCCCTGGGGTGTGCGGAGACCGCCCCGAGGCCGCCACGGGAGGCCCGAGTTTGGGGCTCGACGACCACAGGAGGCGGGGTCAGGCTCGCGGGGGGGAGGCATCGATCCCCAATCGCCCGTGCATCGCCGATAGGGGCCCGATTGGCCAGCCCCGCCCAGGAACGCGAGGTCCTGCGGTCGGGGCCAGATCGCCGATGCATCGGCGACGTACCGCCGATTCCAGGTCGACGCTTCCTCCCCGGGCTGGTCTCCGAGGAGCGCGGGGACGCGCGAGCGGTGATCGTGTGCACGGACGGCGTGCCCTCTGCTGTGGTGCAGCATCTGCCCGTTCTCTGTACCCTGCGAGGACCAGCATCGTCCAACTGGTCCCCATCCCCATTGCGCTATGGTATCTCAGCCCCACCAGGTGTCCCGCCTAAGTGGGGATAATCAGGCCCCGCGAAACCCAAAGGGAGCAGCATCTGATCCCGGGTCGAGGGTTCACAGGCAACCTCCAAAGATGGGAGGGGTCCCAGGGCCCCTCGGGCCCCCTCCCCACATAGAACGGGGGGACGACGACGACGACGACGACGACGACGACGACGACGACGACGACGACGACGACGGCACCGCAGCCCCACCCCACACCCACACGGGGAGGGCGGGGGGCGCCAGCGCTCTCCACCCCACGCCCACAGGCGGGCTGGCACCAGGCGAAGTCTTGGCGGACCCGGGAGTTGTGGGCCGAATGTCGAGCGTGGCAGGTCGGACCCGGCTGTGTTAGTGACCACCTCGCTCGCAGAGTGCGTTCGAGCGTTCGAAGCGTGGGTGCGCGTTTGGGCACGTGCGCGTGCGTGTGGGCGTGCGTGCGGGAGCGTGTGGTTCCAGGCGCCTGACACGCCGAGCGTGGGTCGGCTTTCCTGAGATGCGGCAGATGCCCCAGGGCAGGCAGCTTCGGATTTGCACCGGGGGTACCCATCGCGCGCGGGGGAGGGGGGGGCCGATGGCACCAGCAGAGGGGGGGGGTGCAAATCTAGGCTCATTATCTAGGCGAACTGTCGAGGGGTTCGTATGGTCTCGGGGGCGCGAGTCTCAAGTAACTTTACGTGCCCCACGCCCCCCCGGGAACTCAGAGCACGCGATCCGGGCGTGGCAGGTTGCTGGAGAGGGGGGGGGGGGGCGGAGCCCTGGATCATAGATCCCCACCCGGGGGGCCAAGTCGGCCTGTGGGGCCGAGGCCACTCAGGAGGGGAAAAAACACAGATACAATGAATCGTCGACTCCCAGGAAAGTATGGAAAAATATGGGAAGTGGAGGTGGAGACAAAAACCCAGGAAATGTAGGAAAATATGGGCAATCCTGTCATTTGTGTGTATCTATTTGTGTGTCCCAGGGCCCCTTCAGAGGGATCGCCTGACGATGCTCCGAGGAGTCCCCATCGCCATGCTGGCGAGCTCGCCGGGCTCGCTGGCGGACGCAGTGGCCCCGTGCGCTCGGCGCCGGGGCCGAGGGCCCGGGTCCGCGGTGGCCGTGGCGCTGCTGCAGGGCTGCAGCAGGTTTTTGCGTTGCATCTTCGGGGGGCCTGGACTTATGATGTTCCAACCTACTTTTGCCTGAAGCACCAGAAAGAATTTAGAGCACCAAAAAGGTATCCAAAAAGTGGAGGGCTTTCACGTGTCGGGCCCTGGGAGACACTCGTCCGACATTGTTTCGACACTCTTTCGACACTTTTCCGGGTGCTCGAAATTATTTCTGGGATGTGGTCTTCAAGTACGGTGGGAGCAACATAAGCCTGGACGCGGGTTCGACGAGACCGACACGGCTTCGGCGCGGCTTCGGCGTGGATAAGTCGGGCTTGTGCTTCCACAGGAGGAGTATTCCAAAATAGGCAGAGAACGCTATGGGGACGACTTGTTTCTCAATATTTGTTTTAACATTATGGAGCATGTCTAGGGTATGTTTTATTTTTCGTCCAAAACCCGCCTGTAGGGGGGCATGCCCGACCCAAGGATGACGGCACGACGGGGCGGACGAGGTCCTCCGAAGATGCGCCCCGGAGGTTCCCGAAGCTGGCGTGGCTGTGCCAGCACGTCCAGAAGACCGCCCCGCCCGTGCGCCTGCCCTGCCCGGCCACGCGCAAGAGCGGCCCTGCGCCGTGGTGGCACCTGGTGCTACGTCGGGTGTGTCCCTCTCGGGGGGCATATTCAAAAGTAGTCCGAAAGTAGCCTGGGGGGCGATTCTTCCACCCTTTGTTGACCATTTAGGTGTATGTGTGTCCTATGTTTAATTGTTGTGGCAAAATCCGCCTTTTTGTCCGAATTCCCAATTCCACATTCTGCTCACGTTTCATACATGCTGTCTGGCTGGTAGTCGAATTGTACACCCATGCCCTGCACAGGGCCGAGCAGTCGACAGGCATGCTCGCGTGGTTCGCTCGCTCGCTCGCAAAATCCGCCTGTAGGGGGACATGCCCGACCTAAACCTGGTGCAGGCCCACAGGCTTGGCATCGCTGGGACGTGTTTTCTTTCTTAGCGAGGACCATCGAGGAGCATCCTGACGGTCATCGGACCAGAAGGGCACGCACGGAATCGAAAGACGCACGCGGCATGGGCGCCCGAGCGTCTGCAAGACGGGGTCCCCCTGGCGCTGGCCCGCGCGCCCGTGGTTGGGCACCCGCGGCTGCCTGAAGCCGCGCACCACAGGCAAGGCCAGTCCACCTCGACTTAGCATCAAGTCGGGCTCGTCCCTCTACAGGGGGAACATTCCCAAAAAATCAGAATGTAGTCCGGGGACGATTTCGATTATATGTTGGATATTGTTGACCATGTTTTGATTATTTCCCAACCCTCCTTGGTTGGGTATTCGTTTTGAATAGAGCAGTGTGGTCGCGTCCCTTCTCCCGCCCTTCCTGCTTTTCCCCTCCAGCCTCTTCCTGTCTTGCCCGCGGGGGGCTGCGATCTGTGAAACTGTCGCAATTTTCGAGGCCTGCTGGGGGGCCCAGCACAGTGAGGGCCACGGGCGGATCCAAATTAGACCTCGCCATCCCTGGGGGGCTGCGATCTGCGAAACTGTCGCCATTTTCGAGCCCTGCTGGGGGGCCAGCACAGTGAGGGCCACGCGCGGATTCAAATTAGACCTCGCCATCCCTGGGGGGCTGCGATCTGCGAAACTGTCGCCATTTTCGAGGCTTGCTGGGGGGCCCAGCACAGTGAGGGCCACGCGCGGATTCAAATTAGACCTCGCCATCCCTGGGGGGCTGCGATCTGCGAAACTGTCGCCATTTTCGAGGCCTGCTGGGGGGCCCAGCACAGTGAGGGCCACGCGCGGATTCAAATTAGACCTCGCCATCCCTGGGGGGCTGCGATCTGCGAAACTGTCGCCATTTTCGAGGCCTGCTGGGGGGCCCAGCACAGTGAGGGCCACGCGCGGATTCAAATTAGACCTCGCCATCCCTGGGGGGCTGCGATCTGCGAAACTGTCGCCATTTTCGAGGCCTGCTGGGGGGCCCAGCACAGTGAGGGCCACGCGCGGATTCAAATTAGACCTCGCCATCCCTGGGGGGCTGCGATCTGCGAAACTGTCGCCATTTTCGAGGCCTGCTGGGGGGCCCAGCACAGTGAGGGCCACGCGCGGATTCAAATTAGACCTCGCCATCCCTGGGGGGCTGCGATCTGCGAAACTGTCGCCATTTTCGAGGCCTGCTGGGGGGCCCAGCACAGTGAGGGCCACGCGCGGATTCAAATTAGACCTCGCCATCCCTGGGGGGCTGCGATCTGCGAAACTGCCGCCATTTTCGAGGCCTGCTGGGGGGCCCAGCACAGTGAGGGCCACGGGCAGATTCAAATGAGACCTCGCCATCCCTGCGGGGCTGCGATCTGTGAACCTGTCGCCACTTTCGAGGCCTGCTGTGATCCCCGTTTTCGAAGTGGCTAGGAGTGCTCAGGAATTGTAAATCATCAGCTTTATCAAGCCCTTTTCCTGTAGCCAGTGTCCTGCGAGTCTCCCGAATTCCGTCTGCAGACATATGTAACCCTCGCTCCGTCATCGCCCCCTTTATAAAGTATCCTAAACTATTTGCGGCCCGCTTTTGCGCAGGGGTTGGGTACGTCGCCAGGGTAATTTTCCCCAATCAGAGCTTGCCTCTGTAGGGGTCCTAGCGGATTCATATGGCTAGGTGAGGTATGGCGCCGATTTCGGCGGCACGCCCGGATGCCCAGGTGCCCGATAGCCCTATAGCCTCATAGCCGTACAACACTGTAGCCCTATAGCCCTACAGCCCCGTAGCCCCATAGCCCTATAGCCCCATAGCCCCATAGCCCTATAACCCCAAAAAGATTATGATTGGGGGTTCCTCCGGTATCATTCATTCTGTCGTCCGAAATCCGCCTGTAGGCGGACATGCCCGACCTAAATTTAGCAATTCGGATCGACATGTGCATCGCATCGGCCCGCGTCGGCAGGGAATCGAAATCAAGTCGGGCCCGCGTCGCCAGGATGCGCAACAGCGCCGTGCAAGCGCCGGCCCGCATCGGGTCGTCAGGATGTCGGAGTCGGATCGGATCGAGCCGGCCAGAATCAACATCGAATTTGATCGATGGGTCCATGCGGCGATGTCGCGCCGGCACCGCTGGCGACGTCGTTCAGGGGTGAATTTTGCGACGCGGAACCACCGAGGGACGCGGTGACGCAACTGGACCCGACAGAATTTAACCTTGAGCGATCGGGGCCGCGATCGGTTGAAGGTTGAACGATCGACGCGGTGTCAAAAACTTCTGCGCGCGCCGACGTCGCACGAGCCTACCGTACAGTGGGGGCCCATACAAAGACACCTGGCCTGCCTCCAGGGTGCCATGGGCTTCTTGGGCTTCGCTGATTTTGCCATGGAGAGCGTGACGCTCCCACGCCAAAAATCAGCGGACGTCCTGGGATCTCAGGGTTGGGCTTCCCTGTGGTCGGGCCCCTACACTGAGGGCGCGGCCGCAAGAAACCCAACCCTGAAAACCCGCGCGCGAGGTGCGCCTGAAAGGAAACTGGGAGCGCCCTGAACGCAGCAGCTCCTTCAACGGCTGCGGGAAGTCACCGCGCAGCGCGCGGAGCGAAGAAACCCAGCATAGCCTGACGAAAAGCACATGGTTTCTTGATATGCGCGCCCCCACTGTACTGTAGGCCACCCACCCGAGCCAGAGGGCAGGCACCCTGGCCCAGGGCCGCTCCTGCGCGTGCCCTGGCCCCTCCTGCTGCCGCCCGCCGGGGCCCCTCGCGCCCCGCCGGCGCCGCGCGCGCTCCGGCGGCAGCCCGGGGGCGAGGACTTCTGGCAGCGGCGAAGCGTCGGCGATGATGGGACGCAGTTGAGCAGTGGCGAAGCGTCCTGGCGTGCTTATACTCCTGCCAAACAATGTTCTAAGAACCGCATGTGGTTCCCACGAAATGTTCTTAGAACATTTCTGGCTGAGACTGTCTTGCTTTAACACATCGGGCGTATGGTATAAGAACATTGTTTCTGTTGTTAGAAGAATTCTGGGTTCCAAGAACATCTCCTGGTAGGGCTATAGAGATGCCGGGACGGTTGGTCCCTGCTTAGCTCAGAGTTCGGAGTGGGAAAGTTGAGCGTTGTCTCATTCGTTGTTCTGCCGATCGGCGCGGGCCTTGGCCCCCCCTCCCCCACTTCTCCATGGAGCAGAGCTCGGCCAGTTTTTGGCGCCTGTTTCAAGCAGGTAGAGGCTCCCCCATAGGACGCACTGTTGTAAACAGTCGCGTTAAGCAGAGGTCCACAGCCAGACCCCGCCCCCTCCCCCCCGCCTCCCCATGTCGAAACGTCGAGGCTCAAAAAAAAATGGAGCGGGCAGTTTTTGCCCGTTTTCGGCTTCAGGGAGCCCTCGCCGGGCCTCGGGAGCTTCAAGAACCGACTCGGGAGGAGAAACCGGACCAAGGGAAGTGGTCCCGACCTTCGGGGCCCACGCATCGAAGAATTGGAGCAGCCGGATGTTTGGGATTCAGGAGAGGGAGAGGGTACCAATACCGTTATTGTTCCTTCGTTTTCGTTTTGGGGGCCCTCTTGGGAGGCCTTCGTCGCCACCGGTGGATTCGCCTCGATATTCTGGTCATAACGCACCCCAGGAGAGGTCCGGGACGTAGCGGTGTGGGTATCGCTTGGTTGATCCAAAGATGGTGATGGTGAATGATGATAGTGATGATCTTGATGTTGCTGTTGTTGTTGCTGTTGCTGTTGTTGTTGCGGTTGCTGCTGCTGGTGTTGTTGTTGGTGGTGGTGTTATTGTTGTTGTTGTTGCTGCTGTTGTTGTTGGTGGTGGTGTTGGTGTTGTTGTTGTTATTGTTGTTTTCGTTGTGTTCGTTGTGTTCGTTGTTGTTGTTTCTTCTGTTGCTTCTGTTGGGGTTGGAGTTGGAGTTGTTGCTGGTGTTGGTGTTGGTGTTGTTGGTGGTGGTATTGGTGTTGGTGGTGGTGGTGGTGGTGGTGTTGTTGTGGTTGCTGTGGTTGTGTTTGTTGTTGCGAAACCTCGTGACATGTACATGAGCAGTCAAGACAACCTAGCGCGGCGCACAGTATCTCCGCACAGTTGTCTTCCAGCTTTATATTGGGATGATTCAGATGATGCGA